CACCGCCCCCCGCGCGGGTAGGAACAGATGAGCCGCACCACGCGCTGAAGCCACAGGGATGCGCGTGGATTTCTGAGCGCTTTGTAGAATACAAATGAATTATCCTCATTCTTCTCCTAGCAGAGCATATAGGCCAGACCTCATTAGAATTCAATATCACTCTGCTTTTCTAATGTTAATGTACCAGTTATATAAGAAATACAGGGTGTGGGGGGTTATTCCACAATGATGTTCAACATGATATCATAATTCTGAAAACTAGATGTAATCTTTGTTAAAGGAAATTATTGCATTTTACCATCTCATCTTTCGCTTCTAATATAACTTAAATTCCCATTCTAATAGTGGATTATAAGAGGCCTTAATTCTTTGTGTCTCTCTTAAAGCTGCAGTGACTACAATACAGGCTTTATGGCTTTTTTTTTTTTTTAATGCCGTGACTAAAGATCAGATTGTGAAGGCTCCAAGGCCATCTCCCTGCGAAAGGAAACACAGCACATTACATTAATAAACAACTGTAGGAGTTTTCTTCACCCAGGAATGACTCAGGGCATTAAGGCTTGAGGTCTTTTGTCTCGAGTGCAGCAAGAAGTGTAATGGAAACAAAAACACCAACACATAAAAATACAATTTATGCTCTTTTATCAGGAGAAGAAAAAGTTGGTTAACGTTTGAGAAGGGAGCAGTAATGTAAATTTATTGACAATTTTATTGTAATAATTAGATGTTTACACGGTCTGGACATTGTGGCTAAATCACTTCTTGCCCGTTGATTTGCAGGGAGCCGTTTGCTGGGCCGTTTGCTGGGCATCACAGCGGGTTCATTAGGAAGACATACTGTATTAGGGTGCAAAAAACCAACCAGCTCCATTCTCCCCTTCTCCGTTTTATATTTACAAAAACAAACAAACAAACAATCCAAACTATAAATAATGAAGGAAAATACAGAATTCCCTTCATAAAGAAAACAACTTCCCTCATGGCCCCCAAATAGCCTGAAAATAAATCTCGTATTGTATATCTTAATATGCAGCATTAGAGAGACTGTCTTTAATACTATAACTAGCGTTTAATACCTAATGTGTAAACGGCAATCTGTTTTTGACTAAGAATAAATTATAGGAGAGTATTAGGGAAGCTTTTGCTTCCCTCTTTTCTTCAAAGAAAAAACAGTATTTATTTTAGATGAGCACTTTCTCTTCTCGATATATGTTGAAAGAGAAAAACCTCGTTTAGAGAGAAATATTTCTCTTAAGCAGTTTCAAACCAGATTAATGGATCAAAATTGCACATTTGAGTAATTTGACTACATTTAAATTCTCTACATGGCTCTCTCCCATTAATTTTTTGAGCTTCTATCCTAATCTTTAATGTGTTGCTCTGATATGGTTTTCGTATTTCCAAACTGAGCTAAAATGAAAATGACAGATTTTCAGTTATGCAGACATAGCAGTCAAATGCCAGGAAAAATATGTGAACAAAACAATCTTTAGAAAAGATATGAAATGAGAATAATTTTATAGCATGATAGGGATCCAATAACAGAGGCATATTTGGGGCAATTTTATCAATTTTTAAAATTTAAAAACTGTTTAAAAATTAAGGCACTAAATGCTAAGCTATAATGTGTTTCCAGCCTTAGTACACTTCCATTAGAATTAAGTAGTAATCAATATAGAGTATTTATTGCTATAAACCACAGCACCAGAGGAAGCAAGGAATGATATGCTTAGAAGTCAAAATTCTCTACTGTAATCATTTAGGAAGAGAGAAAAAAGTTTTAGAAATGGACTGATTTTTACTTTAATCTCGGTTACCACAGTTTACTGCATTTCCAACTACTGTCCTTTGTATAGTAATGAAAATACATTACAAAAGTAATAATTTCCTCGTAAAGTATAAGATGGTAAAGCAGCTTTTATTTTAGAAAGCAAATAATAGGTACACAATATGACTATTTTAAAACATTAAGGAAATTGAGTAATGGCTCAAAATAATCAAGGAATCACATGACAGAGCATTATTTTAAAGAGAAGTGCTAAAAATGAACTCTATACTATATTGACTTTATCAAATAAGTTACTGGAATTATATGCTACGTAACATTATAGATTATAATTGCTAGGCTAAAAAAATGGACTCTTCAAAGCTGCTGTATGATAACAAATATATTAATAATCTTAAATAAACTCAAACTTACTTTGATGTCTACACTTCTAAGTTATTCGAGACATGAGAAATGAATTTTTAAAAAAGTCAGATCATGAAAGCCATTATTATTTGAAGGAATATGCTCAATTTTTTAGATAATTTTAATTATTTAAGAGTCCTTTGCATTTTTTATTAGCTTTGCCTAAAGTTATAACATTAAAGCAATAAGGTTACACACGATATTCTGGTTCATCTTTTATTCCAGCCCTATATTTTTACAAACCACAAACTGAGATTAGTGCTATATTACAAGGCTAATTCCATCAAATAAAATCGTCTTATTTCTAGATATGCATCTGAAGAAAATGTTTAACCACAAAGTGTGTGTATTCACAAGCAAAGACAGATATCTACGTAGAAGAAACAGTTTCATAAAGGGAGTACATATTGGTTAAAGGGAATCTGTACAAAAATTTTCCTTAGGGTATCTGTTCCAAAAAAAAATTTTCTGCTGAGTCCAACTACTGACATGTAACTCGGGCTGTTATTCAGGTTGATGCTTTCATATATAAACTTTTTCATATATAAACTTTTCAAAGGAAAAGTTTATTTTGAAATTTACAGACAGAAGTAACATCTCTGGTATCGGAATCTCCGTTAACAGAAAATGGCCACAGCTTGGAAACCAGCAGCTTGATTCAAAAATGTTTAAAGATTATAGGAGAATTTAATCCCAACTTCTTCTAGGATGACTCACATCAATTCTCGTTATAAAATAACAAAATCGACAGCTCCTTAATGTTATTCCAAGCAGTATGACATTAGTGCTGAGTGTTAAAAATTTTTTTCCCCTTGCTTGTTTCTGGTGTGAAGGAGAAATTTTGATTTTGACTTATTGTTCCATTTCAGTTCTCATATCTTGTGATGCAGAAAAGCCGTATTTAACAGCAGTGATTTTTCAAGTCACCTCAAAATATAATCCTCCTTGATCCTAACTACACCCTGCGAGGTAGAGAGAACAAGTGCCACCGGTATTTTGCAGGCAAGGATCACTTTTTCCAGGGCACGATGCAGTAGAGCCGAAACTAGAATTTTGATTGGCTGCAGCTCCAGTGGTCTTTCTACTGCCCAGTCCTGGCTGGACGCCACCAGTACAACTCTGTCCCCAACTTAAGAAAAAGAGCCCTTTTTCCCAAAGGGGTAGGGATCACTCTCGGCTTCCAGAATTATGCTTTACCATAATTGGCAGCAACTCTGCAAAAGACGTTCACATTATTGACACACACAACAATTAGGTTCCCCTCACACTTACTTAATTCAGTAGCTACAAGCATTTTGGAATTTTCCCCAAATCAACTTTTTCATTTAAACCAACACAGAAACCTTCCCTTCCTCTCTGTACACTCGAATATGTATATACGAAAGGATTCCCGGTTCGTTTCCAACCTATTCTCCTAGATTCTGGTGTGATGAAATTAGAGAACCTTTCCTGTTATGTCTGAGGACACTGCCGGTGATTAAACCTGCTAAGAATTGCACCGAGGTAGCTACCTGGGGCCGTTCTCCTTCCCTGAGTTAATGTTCTGTCTATTTTGTTTAGACTCTGAGTCTGTTTGGGAAAGACTGTGTCGAATTCTATGTTTGAAATGCCCCTAGCACACTGTTGGTGCTTAAATGTAATTATTCAAAATGGAATCATTTAATTAGATAGGAAGAGAAATAGCAAGCCCTGAGACGATAATAAAGAATAAAGCAAATCTGCTGACCGACTGAAGCAGAGCAACAGATAACAACGGGCACTCACAAGATAACCACATTGCGATTTTTCACTTCGGGATGCACATAATCAGGTAAACATATAGTTATACCCCTTGCTTTCGCTGGGCTCACAGAAAGCAGAGAGCATGACTGATAATTCCGTAGAGTGATAAGAACTGTGTGTTTCATGCCTCACATGACTTAGCTCCTTGGGAAAGCCCACGGAGGAGGAGGAGGGTGGACGAAGGACACGAAAGCAGGCAGTGATGGGGATTCTCCAGACCACGAGTGCTAGAGCCGGGAATCAGGACTGAGTCATCCATCCATCTGGATGGGACGGGTCGTTGGACACCAACAAGGTCTCCTAGGGCGGCAGCTGAAGATCGGGACAATGCCATGTCATCTGCCCCCTTGGGAAGCCCTGTCTTTTGGAAGCGGGCATTCTGAGCACCAGGCACAGAAACATTTCAGAGTCCGATACAGAATGAAATTCTGTGTGGAAACTGAACTTCAGTACGTCCTCCTCTTTGAGGGAGAAGAGAGCCCGTATTTCAGGGCTCACTGTTCCCCCTCCTTTGGCTAAACTCCAGAGCCGCATACGAACGTCAGTTCTTACCTCCTCCGCCCCCACCCCCACCAGCCTCCCATCACTGAGCTCCAAAAAGAATTTGTTAAAAAAAGATGTGTTCAAAACGCAACAGAAGGCTTTTGTATGGAGCCCTGTACAAGGCACCATGTAGGTGCTCAAGGAATAAGACCTCGTACTTCAGTGCCAGTTATTCCAATAAAAGTTTCTAAATAAATTTGTATCTCAACAAAGTCTTATGTCAGACACTGCCATCACTTGGTCACAAAATTATAAAAGCTTTATAACATAGTTTGCTCACTGACTATAAAGGCTTGAACAGTTTAACAATCATACTTTAAATTGGTGAAACAAACAATTTAAATCCACTCTCAAAAAACAACCATATAACTGAAAACTATTTGAGACAGAGGCAGCCGGTTTTCATGTCTTCTCCAAGCCTTCGCTGGCTGGTCTGTGTCCTTGGGCTTGACTCTCAGGAGGTGGAGAGGACAGTAGAAGGTCATTTGAAAAGAGCCCCTTTGGCCTAGTGTCCTCTCTCGACTCTCCGCTGCCTGTATTGCCTGCCCATTCTTGGCCATATTGGAAGTTTGTAGATATAGTCCTGCGTTGAGGTTTCTTCCCACGGTGGATTAGCTGCTTGAGATTTGAAACAGTCATTGTGGTCACTTTAACTACTAAGTGGGGCGAATTTGGCTGTCCAGCTGTCCGTTCTCAAACTATTCTTTTCACATGCTCCAGACTTTTTTAAAGGAATATCAATACGCTCTGACTGAGTGCCTAGTATATGCAAAGAATCAAGCATTGGCTTGAACTAGTCACAGTAGAGGGGAGCAGAAAGGTGCTGAATGCAAGGGAGGGAGGCTGGGTAACTTACTACTCCTGGACCTTGCGATAAATTACTTACCCCTGTTTCCTAATCAGGAAAATGGGGATAAACCACAGAACTTATCTCACGGGGCTGTGAGAAGACTGAGTGACAGGTGCCCAGCATGACGAGGAAACAGTTAATGTTAGCTACTGCTATTACCAGTCTTAGCTGAATTCTTATCATCATTGCAACATGACAGCCAAAGAACACGAGGTTTTCTAAATGGACTCCCAGGGGGGCTGGAAGGGGGCGACTGTGTATGGGAATCTGCTTACTTGTTGAATTTTCTCCTCTAAAGAAGTCATTTTTAATTGGCATACAGTGGTGTCACTGATTTTCTCCTTCGAGAGTATCCGTGTGACCCTGTCCCCAGATAAGAGGCTCAAGCTACAAAACGGCACTTGCTCTTACTCCAGCAGGAGCGAGGTTTTCCTGTGACAAAGTTGAGGCCAGAAAACAGAAAACAGGAAGCGGTGTTCTAAATAACCTCCATGCAACGGTGAATAACAAAGAAGAGGGTGGAGACGGTGAGGAGAGAAACCTAGAAAAACACGGCCCGAGGCTCCAGCATCAGGAAAAGCTCTTAAGAGACGGGCGTTCGGGGCAATTTCTGTTTCACACGTCTACACGCATTCACGAGTTCTTTGGCGAGATCCTCCTCCAGCCCTTCCCGACATTACGACATTACGGACTCTAGCTGAGAGCTGGTGTGGCTCAGGCTGCTTTCTGCACTTACGGGTCCTGTCTCCTTGGGGACTCACCGGACTCAAGTAAACATAAACATACGACTTTCAAGAAATAGGGAGTAAAAGTCTTTTTAAAGAGACAAAAGTTGGACTATGGTTGGATTTGGCAACGGTTGTGAAACTGCCCGTTTTCAGAATCTCTTTTTGATCCATCTGAGGTGGCAGCTAGCATGCTCCCAGGTCACGGGCACCTGATGTTGCCCAGGTGGCACACAGGGCGGCAGCGATTGCGATGAGCTGGGAAGTGAAACTAGGTCACTTGCCCCAAGGTGCCTGAGTGACAACAGTGAACACAGGAAAGGAAGAGAAGAAACAGCTAGAGATTGGCTGCCACACTCAACTTTCTTGTTTCTCACAATCTCACTCAGTTCAGTGACCAACAAACAAATTCAGTCCACTTGCTGAAGGTGTTACAGGGACAATGAAACTGCTTTTAAAGACTCAGTCGAAGGGACTAATTTTTTGACTGAGTCAATGTTGTCAAGTCAGAAAGCCAGTGATAAAGGCACTTTCCCTGCCAGGCAGAGACGTCAAGTTCTTCTTACATCTCAGGTCGTGAGCTACTGTGGGGTGGGCGCCAAGTCAGCTCACTAACAAATAATCACCGGATCCACACCATATACTCTGAAGTACCGTGCTGGCAACAAATGACATATTTGCGACCAAGTAATGATAGAGGAGATTCTACTAGGGAAAACCAGAAAAAGCCCCTTAAACATAGTATTAGTGAAATGTCATTCCATGTTTCTGTGATCATATGCTTTTGTAAATATTTACTTCATCACAGCAAAATGTTACACAATCAGGGGTTCTAACAGATATTCTAGAAGAACTCAATTACAAGACCATGGATAGTTAAGTTGGCTGAAGCTGAGGATGTCCACAAAGTCCTTGTCCCCAATTCAGATGACCAACTACGTAAATTATGCATTTGAGTGTAGGTTAAGTTTATAGAAAGTCACTTTAATAATATACTATTTATTTGTTTCTCTGTAGTTCAGAATACTGAGGATTTTACTAACAAAACTAGGCCAATTTAACAAATGTTTTTGTGTTTTATATATTAATTATATTCCTTCAACCTCTGAGTGAAGCTGTGTTTTCTATGGTTTGGTCAAGTTTTAACCTCTACCACACCTCCTTCTTTACCACATAAATTGCTTTTCAATATTCTTGAACCTATTGAACTCAAGAGAAGTAAAAGTGATATCTATACAGTTTGTGTCTATAGTTCCATTCAACAACTGATATACAAACAACTGATTTACTTGAAATTTAAAAGTACTTTACCTGATTTAAAAATTCTTACAATGCTTCAGTCAGTCTCATTGATGAAGTTCAAGCTTTTAAACAACATGTATGTTAGGATTAGTTTTCTTATAGTGGCTGAACTGTAAATCTGGATCTTTAATATGTAACTCTGTTCTGGGTTCTGTTTTTAATCATGACCCTAGAAGGTACCAGACTCTATGAAGTGAGTAGGAATAGGATAGATGAGAAAGAGTATAGAAAAAGTAGAAATCATAAGAACTGTGAGAGAGTCTTGACTAGAAACATTTTAGAAACAACTGAATGGAATCTTTACTCTTCATGAAAGGCTGTATACACTAGGAGCAAAACAAACAAACAAAAAAACAAACAAAACCCCCCCGCATGTATAGATTTCACTTACAGATGGTTGAAAAGTGATTTTCTATGATCCTATAATACTTTATGTCATTATCTGTAATTAAATTACCACAAAGTAAAAATAATCCACTTAAAATAATATAAAGTATTGAAAACAACTGCCAGGGTAAATGGCATTCTTTTTCATAAAAGAAAATGACATGTACAACAAAGTGGCAAAAACAGAACGGAGTGAGCTGTGGTTAAGTGTAAACCCTCATAGCGATGCAAGCCATTTGTACTATCCTTACTTCTTTGAATAAATTCAGATGACAGCCCTATTTCATTTCTTCATTCAGTTTGGAGGCCAGATGGCATTAGAATCATTTACTTCACCTTGTTGTGCTTAATTACTACAATCAACACACTATTTTCCAAATTAATCATAACAAAGTAATTTCATTAGTAACACAGCAGGCTGTTGAATTATTAGCATCATAACAGTTTGCAAACAATTAAACTTTATTTGAACCTTAAAAATTTGCAGAGTGGAACATTATTGTAAGATCTAATGGCAATAGAGTACGAATTCAGTACAGAGCAAATAATCAAGCAAAATGCTATATAAAATATGACTTACAATCACCTTTGAAAAAAATTAGCTCTCTAACTGTTCATAGAAAAACAAATAAAACTAAGCAAACATAATGAGAACATAGCGATTAGCATATTTCCTAACAAGCCATGTTGTTTAAATTCACATTAATGATATTATTATGATCTTGAAGAGTGTGTGATATATTGCCAAGGGTGCTAAGAAAAAGTTTCTCTCTGGTATACACAAATGATTTCACCAAATGAATACCAAGTTGTCATGAACTGAAAGTAATGATTCTTCTTCTTGTCGCTCCAATTTTAAATCGTTTGTTTTCTTTCCTCTCTCCCTCCCAGACTCAAGTTAGAAAAGAACAAAGGCCAGAGGAGCTCTGGACGGAAGCTAACACTTCATCTCTGTATCGGCACCATCCACAGAGACTATCGGGCTTGGAATTGGTCATCCTTTGGCAAAGGACTCCCTCTCCTGGATTAACTGTAAAAGGAGGCAGAAATGTTCTAAGGGCTTTACATTCTGTGGGAGTCTGTGCCTGAGTGGGGGAGGGGTCTCCAAGCAGCGTGGTTTGCAATGAAAAGCTGCTGCCATCTACCGGCCCAGGGCTCAAACCTTCACTTAAGCCAGGAACGGGAAACCTGTCTCCACCCCACTAGCAAGTCTACACTGTCAGTGGAAACCAACAACTGCTTCTGCTTTTCAACCTCTCAGGCTTTGCAAACCAGTCCATTAGTTTCATTTCTGGTTATCTTGCTTTTTCCCAAGATGATTTCGATCTGTTCCAATGGCTCGTTATTAGGAAAAGATTAACGAGCACACAAATTAATTTCTGAAAGCTTTAACTCAACAATGTCAAATTTGTATAGAGTTTACCCACAATCCCTAAAATTAGTATTTTTTTTAACATTTCAAATCACATGATCACGGTATTGAAGGGATCATGGTAAAATATACACTCTGAAATACTGCTCATCAGTAGTTTTATATTAATAATGGAGGTTTTAAAATCTTATCAGCTTGTTTGTGTGGTTACACTCCTTATCTTCATAAAGCAAAGCTCTGAAAAGTACAATGAAGGTCGTACCTACTAATCGAGGATTCGGTATGAGGAGATGATATCTACTCCAAATACTTATCCATTCGGCAGTACGTTCTGATATATATTAAGGCCATACCAGTACCTTATAGGCATTCAGAATACCTTTGATTTCAAACATACATAAAAAGGCATTGATATAATTTTGCAAATCTTGCTTAGGCAGCACAGCGTATAACTCGAATGTCAGGCCAACGCTGCCCTCCCACTCACCTGTTGGTGTGTGTGCCTACTGTGGTCGCTACACTCTCCTCTCCGAGGCTTCCTTTTGTCTTCATGGCTCTGAGATGTGTAGCAGAGATGCACGTCTGGGGTCGTGCTGTTTTGTGGTGGGACCGTAAGAGCATGGCCGTGATCAGGCAGGATTAGAGAGTTCTTGGGGCGTGCCTTCTTACTTTAAGAATACACTGAGATTCTTTATGCCATTCTATTAGTGGAGAATGGGGTCTCTTATGAATTTTTGATTTTATTAAACTTAAACAAAACTATGGTAGAAAACGTTGGCAAGCCCATCATTAAATGAGGGTGTCTGTTATTGATATCGGGCTTTACACAAACCAAGGTTCTGGTCTGTACGTGTCTTGCAGAAAGTGACAGTACACTGCCACTTGCAGTTCCATCATTTTCTTTCTTTCTTGTACCTATATTTAACATAAAGTAAATCTGCTAATTGGTAAAAATTCGTTCATGAAAACATGTTACTATTGTGTGAAAAATAAATACTAAGATAAACCACAAAGTTTTAACGCCTTCTTCTTCAGGTAGCATCTACCAAAAACTTGCATGATATATTCAATTTAAATTTTTATGAAATTACATATTACAGTCTAAAAAATAATTGATATGCATATCACCATATTGAGAAATTACAACTCATACTGGAAGTAGCAGTGACTATGCAGTACATATAAAATAGTGCTGAATTCTTCACAAATCAAATGAGTAAATAGAAACTACAATTATTTCTTTGCAAAATAGCAACAGGTATAATTTTACTGCTTGCATCTAATTTACATTAACATCCTTCACTTAATTTCACATCAGAGGACTATTACAATGAATGCATAAAATAGCAAAGACGAACGATGTTCAACAAAACAAAGAAAGGTTATGAGCTGTCACTCATGCTTTCACGAAGATTCTAAATCCAAAGCATCTGCAGAGTAGCAAGAGAATCTTCCTTTTCTGCAGGCGGAAAAGGAAAGTTGCATTATGATTTTTTTCTTCAACTGAAATGTTGATTTTTCCTGCTTAGAAAAAAAATGACATTTTTTTTTTGAGCCAAGGAAAAGTGAATGCTTACTCAACTTACTTCCTCAGAAAGGCCATAAAAGTGGTATTTTACTAAAGAAGAAGAGGTTTGGCATAACAGCTGGCTATTATGAAAGGGACTGTCTCTAAATAATCTATTTACTCCCAAAGTAAATTTTATGTAGTTATTTTTAAAATTAAACCATTTTTTTTTTTAATAAAAAAAGAAGATAATGGTTTGGGAGCATAATCTCTGTGTTCCAGAAAACTACAAATACTTTTAAAAAGGCAAAGACTCGTAACGCAGAGACCAAGAGAACATATGAGCTATTACAGAATATTGGATTAAAATGTACTTACCCAGGACTCTCAAATATCATACATCTCCATTATGTAGGCTTTCGGCACCAAGCCAATGGCTCCCTTCATTTCTCCTACCCACCAGCCATATCTATTGTATTCCTAATTGAAAACAATATGCAATATTAACCTTTAGACTGGTGAAAGTACAGTGTCGTTTGTATGCAACTTCTTAGAAATGTTGTTTCTTTTTATAAAGTTACAAGAGCTTGAGCTGCAAATTGAAACATTTTAATCTTTTTTGTTTCTGGCCACTTTTAAAATGCTGTTAGGCCAAGATTTAAATGAAGTATAAGACAAAGCCTGTTTATTACTCAGTGTAGAACACAGCAACAGTCACTCGCAAGAACCTAGCAAGTGGAACTATGCCCCTGCCCCACTCCTCAGTGCTGGAGGAAGCAAGGTTACAGCCAGGACACTTAGGGTACTATCTTTCCTTCAAGAAGCTTATCATCTAGAGCAAAGACAGAATTTTCTTTTCCCACAGTAAACTACTTAATTCTTAGTTAAACATATGACCGAAAATAATTTAGAATGTAGAGGTATGCCCCTCTTTAAGAAAATCTACTATATGAGTATGACATTTTAAACAGATAAGTTAGAGAATAAGGAAACAATAATAATACCAAAAAAAATTTCTTCACAGAACCCTTCACAAAAGGGATCCTTTGAAAAAGCTTCCCTAAGATATTTATTGTTCTTTTTATTGATCATAAACTACATTAGATAAAAGATGGGTAGAAGGAATCGAATGGTGGTGTTAGAGTCAGCGTTACAGTGAAGAGCAACAGGAAATAAAAGTATCTCGAGTTATAAAGGTGAAATTTTAATACGGCTGTAAAAGAGTGACTGATGTGTCACTTCTGCCTTTACTTTGAGATGTGAGATGAGCTGTACCTCCATCTCCCCTTTGCCTCTACTGACAGATAACGCTGCTGCTCTGGGTATCGCAAACACTCTGTAACCGGTCTCATATGTCTGCCAGATTGACTAATGTATTTTTATTTCAAATTTATTTATGTTTACTGAGATACAAACAAAATAAAATGAATTACAAGTTTCAAGAATAATATCTTTCAAAAGCAATACTCTGCAAAAGCATTGTAGGACCCGAATTTAATTTTTCATATAGATAAATTTTTAAAATCAATCCCCAAAGTAATTCAATAGGCTATGATTGTCCAACATCTGAGTCATAGATAAATGTGCGTATGTATATTGAGTTATGTGCGGGGTGAGAATGTTAATACAGGCACAGACTTAACATCTGAATTGATGAGCATGCTACTGATCAGAAAGGAAAATCATATAATTCAGTATAAATGTAGCAATATTAACATGTGTGTATTGATATGTAGTCTATCAATACAGAGGTTACTGGATTACAATCTGTAAGTGTTTTTTTAACAGTGAGATGTATCAGAATTAGGTTTACTAAAAGAATAAGGTGGAAGAAAAAGGGGAAGAAAGGCTAATCCTGCACTTCTTCTAATTAGGGCGCAGCTCTGGCTTATGAGGCAGTGGGTTCAAGATTTTAAGTTTAAAAGTTCACTGATAAAGTAAACTTAGTGGACAAAACTATCCAAGAAATGAAAATAGTCTGATGCCCAGAATTCAATGATGATGAGTAAAATGTATGTAGAGTATATTTATCAGAAGAAAACACCAACTTACTGAAAGCTAAGATTAGCAACCATTATACCCTAATAGGTACCTAATAAAACTGCCCTTTTCAATTTTTAAGGCAATGAATACAATCGGAGCCTAATGCTTAACAAAACAAATGTATTTAACCTTTCAGAGGCCAAAGACTTACACTGTTAAGATTTCAAACTGGATGGTTAAAAGGGTAAGCATAAGTGTGAAAGTTCCTATCCAACACCAACCTAAGATTTCCAGTTGATTCTTTGGAAGGAGGAACTGGCCACCCTAAGGGCAGGCACAGAACACATTCGATGAGAGGGCATATTATGACCTAAACCTGATTGCAGAGAAGAGCCTGCAATCCAGGTTTCAATGTTTAAGCTCAATTTTCAAACCAGAAAGTTCATATTACTTTATAATATTCTGCCTTGGTTATAGCCTGTCCTCTCATTTAAGGGACTATTATTCTCAGAATGCCGACTCACATCCAAATTTAAAAAACTGATTTCCAACAAATCACTTCAACAAAGGACCGATGACATGCTTCACACGTGAGAGAATTTTGCGTGACAGTAACTGGTAAGATTCATTAAGTAGGAAGCACAGTTGTAAACAGCAGGGAGGAACTTATTCAGCTGTAAACAAATCCCTTAAAAGTAACATTCTAGGAAAAAAAAGTTTTACACTAAAATCATCTTAAATGCCTCACTTAATTAATTTAAAATAATTGAAAAGCATATGAAATAAACACCTCATAAAAGTATTCTAAAATACCACAGGCTTAAATCAGAAAAGGGTAAAAATAAAAAAATTTAAAAAACAGAATGTTTAGTACTTTACATCCGTAAAGAATTCCACATAATACTGTGTGGAATTAAGAGGTAGGATAAAATATAGTGAGGTAAAAATCTAGTAGGCAAATTTATGGATTTACACTGCAGCCACTGGAGTACGTCCACAAGACTGCAAACACAGAGGCTGTTACTTTTATTATTACCATCCTCTGTATGAGCCTCCTGAGCAACATGAATCCCAATTAAACCATTTGCAGCCTATAAATTGGAATGAACATGCTTCTTGGAGTACAGTATTCTACAGTATTCTAAACTTCGGCCTGAAGATTCAGTATCATACAAGGTTGCCTTTTGAAGGAGAAAATCTGCCTTTCTTTGCCTTCCCCCAAACAAATGTGATTATGAATAACACATTACTTACAGTGCAAAATAATGCAATCCGTACACTGTTGTCTTGTGGTCCACATACTGATTACAGTATTGTTCTAAACGTCACAGGTGGGTCATTAAAAACAACAACCCTCAAACCTGGTCTTGTTAATAAACAAAAAATAAAGAGCAAAACCATACCAGGCTGCCATCTAAATCTTTGAAAGGATAGGAAGCATCATGTCATCTTTATGGCACGTGAGCGCTCAGGTACAAAAGATGTGCCATCTGGTATCCCTCACCCTATCCGGCTCTTAATGTCGACTGAAATGCTAACATAGGCAAGTGACTGTACTTCAGGAGGACTGATAAAATAATGAAGAGTCCTTTAATCTACAGGAAACCATTCTAGTCAATTTATAAGAAATATTGCATCCCTTTGTAGGACGTGTAATTATTTTCTATTAATCATGTGCTATAAAGCTACATTATGCGGTTATTCTGTTATCACTAGGAAGGGGCCTGCAGTCAGCTTCTGACAATGTTAGGTAATTACTAACACAAAGCTTCTTTCTGCCCCCGTAGTAATGCTATCAAGATCCAGAGGTGCAGTGATGCTTATTGTATAAAAATAGTACTCGAACGAAATTCAATCTCTGCAAAATGGATGGCTTCGAGGCAAAATGCAAGGAAAAAGAGCAAAACTTCCCCAATAATCGAAGAAAGGAATCGTAAAACGGCTCTGAACAGTGGTGATTTAACTCCTCTGTTTTCAATTTTCATACCATTAAGATCCTTTTTATTTGTAGTTAAAATTTTAGGCCTCGATTAATAGGTATTAAGCAATAAATTAAAGCGATTACATAATAAGGCAGGAAAAAAGGACTAGTTTTCATAAAGTGAAACAGGGACTTTCTCCAACACAATAGTAAATACATGTCCATGTTTACTCACTAACTAAATCCTCTGTCTCTGCCAGTGTGTTATTTTACACTTAAAAAAGGCCCCAACGTTTACTACTTAAATCCTTTTCAGCACCATGATTCTCATTTTTCAAGGAGGTTAATCCACTTTCTGCTAACCATATGGTAAAAGAATGCTCTCTTAACAGAAACTTGAAACACTAATAAGGTTTTGTGATGTACTGCCCCTTTCAGAAATTAGCTGTTTGAAAGCAACAGGTGTTAGGCCCTTTCTTCAAACATATATCTGTCTTCCAACTATTCACTGTGATATTTTCAATTTCTCAAATTATTTATAAACATTGTAATGGTACAAAAAAACTAGACAACGGTTTAAAATATGGAAATACTTTCTTCAAGATACCTCTTCAATCTCTTCCTTTTTACTAGCTCCGATTAGAAACTTTATAAGAACCTTTGCATTTCTCATACATCCATCCTTCAAAGGTTCTCTTAAAATGCACGAGAACTTGACAGCCTCAGTGTTTTACTATTTTTATCTACACATCTGCTGCTCCGATCAGTCTCCTGACCTGTTAAGTGAGAAAACTGGTCCTCCATGATGTCTGAACACCACCATTCACGAACCTGCTTAAAGACACTGAGTCTCCTGGTAGCTTACGGAAATCAACCTCATCACTTTATAATTTACTACTAAGGTGTGACTTGGAGTTACTCTAATTCAAAGAATTACTATTTTTTCTCTTTGCACTGTGCATTCTATTTTTAAAGCAAGAAAGACAAAGGACAAGAAAGCAAACTGATAGTAAGAATTTCTTATAACAAATTTCAGTTTATATTCCAGAGTCAAGACTTAATTCAAATTTCTAACCAGTCAACATTTACAGTACTATACAGTAAAAAGTGACAGTTGAACTGATGATTCGCAGATACTATTAGGCAAAGAAAGATCCAACTGGGCTCAGTAAAGGCTGGTGGTGGAACTCAGTATGTTTCGCCAGCCAATACACGGCTGCCGACTGTCCTCAGGATCGCCTGCTCCTTTTTATGCCAACGTCGCCAGCTTGCTCAGGCCTTCACCACTGCAGCCTGGATTATTGCATCATGAGCTCTGCCTCTCTGTGCTTCCCAGAAACCGCCCTTGTCAGTTTACTCTGCTGCTCAAGAACTCACAGGAGCTCCTTATACTAGCTCCTCAATGCATTACCTGTGAACTCCTCACCTTGGCTCTTCCCCCCTTCCCCGACCCTGCTGGCAACTGTCTTTTCTCGCTGCTCTGGTCTGCACAGCGCAACCTTCCCCACTGCACTCACTCCTACCTCTGCACGTGCCGCTCCCTCCTGCGCCCGAACCCTCACCAGAGACTGAGACC